CTATATGAAGCCCTAAATATTTGACTGTGCCGGAGGGAATAATCTCCTTGCCTCTAACAGTTATATTACATTTCATTCTCTTTTTGGTGAAAATTATAGCTTCAGTTTTAGCTGCATTTACATTTATTTTCCATTTGTTTAATTCATTAATCACTAGCGAGGCAGCATTTTCCAGTCGAGAGATTGCTTTAGTTATTGATGAGCTAGATGCGAAAAGGGCAAGATCGTCGGCGAAGCCGGCTATGTTGACATTTGTTGGAATTTTATGGAAAACGGAAGCGATATAAATGTTGAAAAGAGCTGGGGAGAGGATGGATCCCTGAGGGACTCCCGCAACAATCTTCGTAGAAAGAGTTTGGTCAACTCTGACCTGAATAAATCTATCAGTAAGGAAAGATTTTAAGATTTTAGATAAATAAGGAGGAAAATCTAGTGAAATTAATTTATAAATAATACCCGCAGTCCATACCGAGTCGAAAGCCTTTTCGCTGTCTAGTAGTAGCATGGCTGTATCCATATTTTCGTCTTGATTTTTATTTACATGGTTAGTGATCCGGAGAAGTTGATGGTAGGTGGAGTGATTGGATTTAAAACCAAATTGAGCTTCAGGAATGATTTTATTTTTAAGGGTGAATTTGCTTAGCCTCAAAAAAATTATTTTTTCCAGGATTTTGGCTAGGTTAGGGAGTAAACTCACCGGACGATAGCTAACCGGTTCATAGGGGGATTTGCCAGGTTTTAAAATGGGAATTACAACTGCACACTTCCAAGAGATTGGAAAGTAGTGGAGTTTAAGGCAAGAGTTATAAATTTTTGTTAGAAAAACGATAATCTTGCGGGGTAAGTTTTTGATTACCAGGTTGGGGATACCGTCCACACCTGGAGCTGATTTATTTTTTAGTTTAACAATGATGTTTTTAATTTCTTTAGGGGAAGTTAATTTTTTATCAGGGGTGGTGACAGTATCTTTAAATAAGGTTTTATTAATTTTAGCGAAAACGTGGTCAGAAAAGGAGGAGTTCCCTCTCTGATCAGCAATTTCATGTATTTTTGCATAATGAGATGCCAAAAGGTCAGCTTTGCCTTTGGTATCATTTACAGGAGTTGAGTTTGAGTTGAGGTGGGGAATTTTTGTTTTACCACTGTTATTGAAGCTTTTAGCGACTCTCCAGATAGATTGGTCTTTCAGGTTTAATTTTTGTAATTTGGCATCCCAAATAGCATTACGCCATTCACAAATTTTGCTTCGAATTTCTTTAATGAGTTGATTGAGCCATGTTTTTAGGAGAGGGCTCCGCGAATTTTGCCATCTAGAGCGTATGGAATTTTTTTAATTTAATTAGTTCTTTTATATTTCGGGGTAGGGGTTCTTCATGAATAATATTACTAGAGATAGGGGTGTTATTAATAATAGCGAAATGAATTTTTTCGTCAAGTAGGGATACATTTCTGTCAATAAGATTTGGAGAGCTGCAGTTTGGATTTGCAGATAAAATCGCATCATTTAAATCTTCTCTGAATTTACTCCAGTTGGTTTTTGTGAAATTTAGTCTATTGGTGTTATTGGATATAATGGATTTGCCATAAATGGAGAAGATTAGTGGTAAATGATCTGATGGAGATTCTGTGAGGATGTTAAAGGATTTTATGATGAAACTATTGTTGGATAAGGCGAAATCAATGGTGCTAGGGGTTGTGCCATTATCAGGATAATGGGTAGGGCAATCAGGGTGATAGAGAAATAAATTGTTAGAGGTTATGAAGTTGATTAATTCAGCTCCAGATGGATTGGATTTTGGTGCATTCCATGAGGGATCATGAGCATTTAAATCCCCAGCTAGTATTGTTGAGGGGTTTTTTGACATGAGGGCTTTTAATAAGATTGTGTCGAGTTGAATGTTTGGGGGATTGTAGATTGAATAAAGGTGGACACTCTTATTATCAATAAATATTTCCGTACCTACGTATTCGGTGTTAGACTTAATAGAACGAGGAAGTTCATTGTAATTGAGAGACGAATGGATAGCCACAGCCACACCACCACCAGCTCTGTCAGTCCTGTCTGCTCTGATGACGTTGAAATTTGGAAGGTTAATTTTTTTGATAGATTTATTCAGTTTCGTCTCTGAAAGAAGTACGATTTTAACGTTATTGTTTGAGATAATCTGAGACAACTCAGTTAAATTAGATTTGAGACCCCTTATGTTCAAGGCGAGAATATTAAAATTAGGTTTTAGAGCCGGAGCCATGAGGAGCATTGGTGGTGAACAAGTATTCATACTCTGTTAGGATTTTCAATTTCTCTAACGGTTGATCAGTTTTTTTAAGTCTAGTAATCATTGTATTAGCAGTAGAAATAATAAAAGGAATATTCAATTTGTTCAGTTCACCAACAATGTCTTTGGCCTGTAAAATGTAATTTTGAGCGGTACTTAAAGGAATGTGAGTTGAGTAGTTTGTAGCCCAGGATTTAGAAATTCGTGTTCTTCCAGCGTATGATGGAATGGGCGTCGTGTTGGCAGGAGTGTCACTAAATGATGTCAGAGGTACAGGTGCAGGACTCGGTGATGGGTCATGTTGGAAGGGCTCTGAGAAGCCTGTGAAGACCGTAGGAGAACTGGGAGCTGGCGTCAGTGGTCTCAGTGGAGGGAAGTTGAAATTTCTCATCCTGTTCATACTCGGGTGATCCATAATGGGGGTGATGGGTTCACGAGGGAAAGCAGGCTGTGTTGGCTGATGGTTTAGTGACTTTTTGGTTTGTTTGGAGAGACTGAGTTTTTCAATAAAGCGTTTCCTTGCAGGACACCCTCTGAAACTGGCTACATGGTTTCCTTCACAATTGGCACATTTTAGTGTTGAAGATGTGCATTCCTTAGCGTCGTGGTTGGACCCACATTTCACACATCGATAATCAAGGTTGCAGTGGCTGCTAGCGTGGTTGAAGTGCTGGCAGCGAAAGCATTGAAGTGGTTGGCCATCTGATTTAAATTTTTCCACTTGAAATGTGTGATAGAGGATTGTGCGGATTTTTGTTAAATCAGTAATTCTGGTGCCTGGTCCAACTGTGACCGCATAAACAGGAAGTTTGATTGGCATGTCATTGTCTCTGCCTTTCTTGATAAATTATTTGATGGAGATAACCTCAATTTCTGATTTTGATAATTCATTTTTGATGTCATCTTCCGTGAAGCTCGGGGGAAGGCCTTTCAGAATGAATTTTGAGTTCTTGTCTTGTTTAAATCCATAGGTGTAGTAATTTATCTTACTTTTTTCAAGGATTTTACAAATTTTATCATGGTCCAAACGGTTGTTGAGAGAAATGGTTGATGAGTTGCCTCGGCATTTAATTTTGAAATTTTTGTTGGAGACATTGTTGCAGATATCGTTCACCAGCAGTTTGATGTCAATTTTCTCATTGTTAATGACAATTGGTGGAGTGGGATCAGAAATTGGATCCCCAGGACGGTTTGTTGGAATTTCAGCAGGTGGATCGGCACGTGGCCTGTTGGAGTTTGGAGTGCCTCTATTGGCAGCAGTTTTTTTAATTTTTGTTGTATTTCCCGTAGGACTCATGACAATTTTCCTTTTAGGAGTAACTGAAGGTTTGGGTTTGCTGCCATTAGTCACTTTATGGTGACAGTTAGAAGAAAATCAGTGACTTTGTGAGCTTTTTATTATGCGTGAATGTTTGAGGTTAGCCACGCAGTGATAGAGAGAGCACAGAACACTTCTGTGCGGCTCGAATATCGAAGCGAAAACTGTCGACCACCGTATCATTTTTAAAAATGATCGTTTGTTTTGAGTATATCAATAATACTCCCAATAAAATTGTAGTATTGAACTAAATCTGGAATAATATCAATTAGTATAATTTTCCTTATCATCATCCCCCCTCCCCTCCAACCCACCCCCCTTTACCATTTCCACCCCGACTCTTTGGTGAAAATTTTTCTAAGTCCCATACGGAATGCCTTATCCGGACCTGATCATTGCCAGATCAGGTTCACCGTATTGAACTTATAGAATTTTCGAAGTTGAGGATTCCCGACATACCTTACCTGGTCCTGATCATGGCCGGATCGAATTGGCCGTATCCGGTATACTCAACAAGCACTCGGGTTCAATCGAAAGGGGCTGAAAAAGACCCCGGAATTTCCCTTATCAGACATGCTGATGTAACTTTAATTTTTCTCTATCACGGTACGCTCAAAAGACCCTAACTGGGGCATGATCAGGCATGCCTACTTGAAGTTTGGAATTTATTGATAAGGTGAACATGTAATTGTCCCCTTCAGGCCCTGCTCTGGCATGCCGTAATTAGGTATACTGTATCGATACCGGAGCAGGGCCTTCTCTGCCGAAAGGCCTGTCTGACGAAATTTCTACTCGGGAAATGCTAATTTGATAAAAATAGAATGAAAATTTTCGATCATTCAATCTATTCATACCGCAAGCCGGCGTATCACTACTTATTCGAAATCATAAAATGAAAATAAAGCAGAAAAATACCTGAAAGGAAATACAAAGAACAATTCTCGTGGGCATAAATCAAACGAATTGTCAACGGGTGCGGCCAGAGGTATTTAACTCCTCCCCTTCAACCGAGTAAAAAAAATTAAGAAACCGATAGAGATAAAAGAGAGAGAGAGAGAGAGAGAGAGAGAGAGAGAGAGAGAGAGAGAGAGAGAGAGTAGAAAAAAGAGAATTGCCAGAAGAAAATAATGGCGAACCCCTTTCATTAATTACAGAATCACAGATGCCATCTATTGTAACTTTTTGTTTAACGCCTTTATTCAAAACTTCAATAATTTTTCCCGCTACTTCTCTCCTTCTTCCCCCTTTCTCGACCCATACCCTGTAGATTTATGAGCATGATTATTTTCAATTATGACATTCTCGTTTCTGTTGCAGGAAAAACAAACTAGAGAAAAAAGAGTAATGAACTTTTATGTAAAATAACGTTTTTATTAAGATCTCTTATTTTTCTCTACATCATTCAATTTGAACATCAATGTGAATATGACCTTTTACACTGATTCATCATTTTTTTCTGGTTTCCGTCACGAATTTTCATTATGTTGAGATGTCTAAATCTTGAACCAATCCTTCTGCTGTATTTTTCTATTGTTCTCTTCACGCAACAGCTTCCTTCACGGGTACAGGCATGCAGTGATGAAATAAGTAACTTGCAATAATATAAAACGCCTGATGTGTGATTATTTCTGGCTGGTCCATCTCAAGGCCGATAATTATGAGACGATTGGTCCATTCTGGTTGATATTAAAACCTGTAACATACCAAAGGCATGTTGATTAAACATACAGTCAAAGAAGATTGAAGGAGATTAACCACTCAACGAAACAGTAAAACGAAACAGCCTCCATGTGAATTTCACGGCTATCAATTTTTTGGCCATTACATCATGCCAACATAGCACGAAATTTTCAATTTTTTTCCATTTCAGGTCTGCAATAATAATTCATCATTTTAAATGATGGCGCTGACCCTATGGAGTAGTTTATTAGCTCAATATGGCAGTGCATTGGTTTCAGCGGCACGATTCCGATTCCGTTGGCGCTACGATTTGACGGTTGTTTCCAGAAGTATTTTGCCTCAGGAATCCGAGAAAAATAATGAAAAAATTCTATTTTGATTATTTATTTCAATTTTCGATATTTTAATCTAAAAAATTCATATTTTCCCAATTTATACTTTACAATCTTCGGGCGTTGGGCATTGAGGGACTTTAAGGGTGGGGGGAAAAAAATCAGTATTAAGTAGATTTAAGAAAAGTGAGAAAGTTTCGGTCTTTTTGTTTTTTAAGAATTTTTTTAAACGTGCGAAAAAGAATAATATAAGGCCATCTATGTCGGCCTCGACTCGCCCAGATACTCCCTATAATAATAATAGCTGTAAGTTAAATAATAACTAGAGAATGATAAATTTGGAGCTGTTGCCAGCTGCGCAACCTAGAGATTAGTGATTCCTAATCACTAATAGAATGTAAGGTATTTTTTTAATAGATATTTGTTTTTCCCTGTAAGCACCAAAAAATGTACAAAAATCAAATAAACAAAAATTTTATTTAAAAAAAAGGTACATAACTACTATGCGGAGGGTCCCGAGTTCAAGTCCCGCTCTGGGTGATTTTTTTTTCTTCTTTTTCTCGACCCGCCTATTCTGGGACCACTATTTATTTATTTATTTATTATTCATTTTTGGCTCAATTTAATAATTCAGTTAGCAATTTATCAATTTGTAGCAAAGGTTATGCCAGGTAAGGGCGAAACCAGGCCGCCTGTCACGACCCTTATCAGGTTTAGAAATTAGGTCCTGATCATGGTTTGCTTTACATTTCCTATCAGGCCCTGATGTGGTAACCGTAACAGGGCAGGATCTTTTCTACGGTACAGCGGACCAGGGCCTGACCAGTGAAGTACTAAAATTTCTACTCAGGATAGGCAAATGTACCGGACCGCACGGTAATTTTTATCTGAATTTCTCCAAAAAAATTCTGGAATTTTTTTCTCCGTGTAGGGGAGACCGAGGCGAAATGACACTACGGGGCAAAATGAGACCCCTTTAAAATTTGAGGTCTTATACGGCTGATCAATTCCCTTACATTTATCAATGAAATACTCAATTCTAAGTTGAGCTTTCAGATTACCCTGCTTGTTTCTATCGCTTGCGATCGTTTCACCCTTGTCAGTTATACCTATTCCTTCCAACGGTCAATCCTCGTTAGGCATAACTCTTGAGAGATATGATTCTTATGACATTTAACCCTCACGAGGCATAACCGTTGTGATATTTGACCCTTATTGCGTTCGAACCTCGAGAGGCATAACTCTTGCAAGGTATCGAAAAGTTTCACTATGGCGAAGTTTGACCCTTCTGAGATAAAAAAGGAGAAACTTTCAATTATTGTACTCGATTTATGATCATTCAATCCTTGTGATTGTCCTGCCTACCTTGCCGGGTTGACCCTTATGATTGTTGGACTCTTGTTATTGTTCAACGGATGGGAAAAATTTTATCGTTAAAATACATTTTTTTCTAGAAGTATTGAGAAAGTCGTCTCGTTATTTTCTTGCCAATCAGTTCGCATGATTAGAAAACAATCTGATCTGCGGAATTTTCTCACAGTTATGGCTATCGAACCCAATTTTCACTCTTGTATTCATGTTAATTATTTATTTACTCCAAAAACAACTGATTTCAGAATGAAAAGTCAAGAAATTCATTTTTTATTCCAATAAATTTTGAACACAAAAGAGCTCCTGATTTTTTTATATGGAATGATTGACATTACACAGAGAACAAAAGTGGATTAGCTTTAGAAACTAGTTTCTAGATTTTAGAAACTCCTGTTCTTAAGCTTTATCCTTGGTGGGATCATAAAAACTAACGAATTTGGGGATTGTTTTTAAGAACAAATATTTTCTAAAACCAATGCTGAATTTTTCTTAATTTTAGAAAATTTTCCGATTGAACTAAAAAATTGCGGCCGAGGTATTTAAAGGGCGTAAGTGCCTCATACATACGGAGGGGTGGCCAAATATCGGCAATTTCAGATGTGAGGAGGGGGTTTTTGCAAAGAGGGGAAGGGGGGAGTTGTACATTGAGAATTCATAACCAAAAAAATTGAGTCGGTGAGTTTTTCAAAAATATCTCCAAAACTAAGGGAGATAGCGAATTTTTACTGAAAGATTGGGGGGGAGGGGTGTACATCGACCTTCAATAAAACTTCCCTCCCCTCCACCCCCCCAAATTTACGTATAAATTGGCTATCTCGCTTAGTTTCGGAGATATTCTTGAAAAACACAACTATTTTGAAAAACAAACTCACCATTATTCACTATTTTGAAAAACAATCCCCCCTTCCCCTCTTTGCCAAAACCCCCCTCAAAAATTGAAAAAAATTGCAAGGTTTTAAAAAATATTGTTTCTAAAATTGAGTATATTTTAGTTTAAAAGTAATCCCCATTTTGATCATTGATTTTAAATTATTTTTTTCTAAAACTTAGAAAAAAGTTACTATATTTTCGAAAACTGAAGGTTAGAAACCACGGTTCCTAAAATTTAGAAACTTTTTACTAAAGCCAATCCACTTTTTCTATGTGTGTAAAATCATTTTTGATTTCTGAAGAGGCTTTATATTGAATTGAACAGAACTTGCCAGAAGCCAGAACCTGAAAATTCATTTATGTCATCAGTGCGTCTGTGGGGGTGGTGAGTGGG